TGTGTGTGTCTGTGTGTGTGCAAGAATATGTGTGAGAGAATATGTGTTTGTGTGTGTGTGTGGGAGAATGTGTTTGTGTGTGTGTGTGGGAGAATATCTGTATGTGTGTGTGCACGTGTGTGTTTGTTGGAGAGTGTTTATGTGTGTTGGAGAGTGTGTGTGTGGGAGTGTCTGTGTGTGTGTCTCGTCTGTTGGGGTCACCTGTAGTGCAGCATGAACCCACAATCCCAGTTGAGGCTGTCCTCATGGGTACCGAACTTGGATATTGGTCTCTGATTGGTGACTCTGTGTTGTTGTGTATCCTGAAGTCTGTCTTGGAAGGCATTTATCCGAAGATCCGAGGCCAAATGCCCTCGACAGCGGAAGTGCTTCCCCACTGGGAGGGTACATCCCTGTTTGGTGATTGTTGCGCAGTGTCCTTTTGTTTGTTGTCGTAGTGTCTACATGGTTTTGCCAATACACCGTGCCTCGGGATATCCTTGCCTCCAGCATGTGTGAGAGACAGCATTGGCCGAGTCACATGAGTATCTGCCGTGCACGTGGTGGGTGGTATTCCCACGTGTGATGGTCTTGTCCATGTTGAAGATCTGACATGTCTTGCAGAGATTGCCAAACAGGGTTGTATAATGTTTTAGTCAATGTTGTCCTGAAGGCTGGGTAGTTTGCTGCGAACAATGGTCTGTTTAAGGTTTGGTGGTTGTTTTGAAGGCGAGAAGTGGAGGTGTGGGGAGGATCTTGGTGCCGATGCTCATCGTCATTGATAATGTGTTGAAAGCTGCGAAGAATGTCGCGTAGTTTGTCCCGCTCCCAGGAAGTACTAGATGATGAAAGGCACCCTATCAGTCGTATCCCGTGTCTGTCTTCTGAGGAGATCATTACGTTTTTTAGCTGTGGCATGTCACAGCAACACAGTCACCAAGCAGAGGCTAAGAACCAAGTTCAGTACCCATGAAGACAAACTCAACTGGGATTTTGGGTTCATGTCGCAATACATGTTACCAGACCGCACTATACTCTCTCTCTCTCTCACTCTCTCTCTCACACACACACACACACACACACGCACACACACACACACGTAAATCTGTGGGGTAAGTTTGTATTTGCAGATATGTTCTATTTTGTTCACAAAGCATACAATTTATGGACAGTCTGTCAATGTAGCATTTTATAAATTCCTACTTTAGAAGTAAAACCAGTCTGACTCCAAACTACAACACAAACAGATTCTAAACAAGGCCTCACGCCTAACATGCATTGTCTGACCTAAAATATCATCTCTTCTTTACACTGATAAAAACTTTTGTTCCCTCATGGCAGTGACTTGTAAAAAATTCGGGGATTTACATATTCATATTAATCAATTAAAACCTTCTAACTGATTAAAGATTTAACAGCATCTTAGGTTTGTTTAGTACATCCTCATCAGTTGTGTGACCCTTTGATCTATTACTTATAAATTCTGTGTCTGATGCTACCTCTCTCACTAACACCTGACAAGGAGCAAGGCTTCAAAAGTGTGTGTTTTAAAACAAACCTGTTGAATTATAATCTAGCGTTGTGTGATTTCTGACAAAGTTAGAATGAGCAAATTGAATTTCTCCACATAAGACATGCCTGAGCTTACTAAAACTTCTTTGAATTTACCTCGTTTCCTGTCTGGCTCAGTCAGATTACAAAGTATCTTCCCTGCCTCGGACAGATTGTAGTGTATTTTGATATGTACCATGGGGCTTGTTTTGGACAGACTGAGCTTAACTTTGGACAGAACTTTGGCAATTGTCTTTTATTGTATATAAGCCATGCCTTTGAAAATGAGAAAGGTAAAGAATGAATGCTGGCTAATGTTCCGTTTAAAAGAAGAGAAGATATATTGTAGTGCATTTATAGAGAGATAGCAGTATTTTTAATCCATTTTTCCCCTTTCCTAACACTGGTAATGTTTGTAGAGTCAGGCATCACTAGATTATCATGGTTTAGGTTGGGGTGAGGATTGAGTCTGAATTTTTTTTTTAATGTGTGTTTCATCCAAGGTATGTATACTTTTTAACAAATAAAACTTAGACAATTCACTTTGCAAGAAGTGTCTCTTCACCTCTTCTCTTCCAGTATTTTTCAACCTATTTTGAGTAATGTTATTATTGCTCTTCCAGCTTAACCTTTTGTTTGAGATACGTTCAGATCAATACTTGTTGGAATATCAAATGTATCTACATGTCACTTCTGACTATTAAAGAGAACTTGATTGGCAGAATCACAGTTCCTTCAGTCTGCCCATTTGGCAGCCCTGGCAAAGCAACAGAAATTCTTTCAACTACACTTTTTTATGAAAATTAGACCATGATTAATTTTAAAAGATTGAACATCGGTACATGTAGAAAATACTATTAATATTTGTACTCCCCCCCCATTAGAAAACAAAACATGAAGTGTATTGCACTTTTAACTTTCCCAATGTCCTTTTTGTAAAATAACTAAAAATGTAAGTATATCTGTTAAACAAGTAACTCTGCTGCAAGAATAAACTCATCAATCATTCATTAATAAATTCATTTTTCTTATTATAGGGAACCAATTGGAAAGAAGAAATCTGGTAAGGAGCATTGAATTGTCTGTACTAGTTGTCTAGTGCTAAAGGTATTTTAAATTATTGTAGCCAGAAAGGATCTTAGAACACTTCAGAGATTAAGTATATTTCATTAAATGAAATTTGCCGTAAGATTTTTGAATTGGAAAAGTATTTTTCTTACTAACTTGGCAACAAATGATGCTGATACAAAGTGCATTTTTTTATTCTAAACATACACAGACAATATCTTCTAAGAGGTATCAATGTGACAGGATGGTGAGAAATTCTAAAGACCAGTCCAAAGAACTGCTTATGGGATAATTTACATGGTAAAATGGTAACGGCATCAGTAATAACTTGCCACCGTCAAAAAAAACTCAATAGAAACTATACGTAGGCATGGGTAGGTGGAGAGTTAGACGAAATCCTATGTTTGGAATTCATCAATTCAAATTAGGAATGTTATAAAGCAATTAACTACAGGCTAAAATGAGGCAAAATTATGGATCACTATTAATAATGGCTTGAATCGTGGAAGAGTTAATGATGGCTTGTAAAATTAAAGGGACCTTCCTTATCTAAACAGACAGCACTGTCCCAACTGTTGTGTGATTATGTTACAGACAGTCTGTCAAGACTGCACTTGGACCTTTCAGGAAAAAGGAAAGGCCCAATAGCAAAAGGTTTCACAATTTTGGAACAGATTTTGGGAAGAGATTGGTAATGGTGATTTGTCATAGAATACATGTGGAAATACACTGTAGATTGCGCTTTTTCAAAATATGCAAAAAGTAATTGTTTTAATAAGAGTTTTGAAATATGCCATAATTCTGTTACTGAAATGGCAGCTTTTCCTGCAAGTTGATGGCAAATTGTGATAAAGCGTAATTAAATTTCAGGAAGGAATAGATTACACATCACCAGTACATCCAGATCCAGGATCCCTTATCCATCCCTAGCAACATAAATAAAACTGATCTGAAAAGTCATATGTGTACAATTAAAAGCTACAGTAGAGGGTGGGTATTAAAGATATACTTTGTGTTCCATAATGCAGCTGCTGGGTTTCAAATGATTCATTTGTACTCTTGAGGTTGGCTGTCTGTGCATTTATTTAACAACTATAGTCTCACTGCCAATCAATGTTGTAGTTTCCTAATGAAAATTTGGATTAAGTACATGACCAGACAGGAGTGAAGCAGATTAATGCTTCCTCCTGGTCAGTTCTGTCCTCTGAATTACAATTAAAGCTAAGCACCAGGTTAATACAAACCTGTTCAAAACAATGTTACCATTGCAATGTAAATGTCCGACTGAATCGTCTTTTGGACTAAGCCTAAGTACCGACTCAGCTGTCTATTTTTATAAGACAATATAATAACAATGTTTTGGCAAGAATTTCTGCAAAAGTTCCAAAGATACCATCTAGCAAACATTTGAAATGATATAAGCCACTAAAGAGAAGGGTTGGGTAGCTGCCCAAATAGGAACAAATGTTATAACATCTGATCTGAAAGTTGTTAACAGCCTTCCATGTGTGTTTAATACTGAATGACAAAATATTATGGTTGGATATGAGAAATTGAAGTGGGCAAAGAACTCAACCATGTGGAAGCCTCAGAAAGGACCAATCAAATCTGAAGGGTCAGACTGGATACTATCCAATGAGGAAATATGTTTATTTTCTTTGGGTGTATTCTAGAGGAGCAAATTAACCTCCCATTCTAGCGCCTTCCTGAGTCTCATCCTATTGAAATCAATAGGATGGAAATCAATTTGACTGTAGCTGACTGATTAATCTAGTTTCTCTGGAGGTTGGAGTTGAATTGATGACTTCATAGGAATGAAATCTATCTGCAGCATTTAAAAGATAGGAATATAACGGTTCGTTATCTTAGACATTGTGATGTAGTTTGGAAAACAAAGGTCATTTTCTCATGCTTTAGAAATGAGGTGACCAACCATGTAATTTATGCCAATGAAAGCGATAAGCCATAGAAAAGCACTAAAACTTTAAAGCAGAAGAACAGAAAGCCTTAAATGGAGCAACATTTGCACTGCCAGAAATTGTTCAAACATAGCTAAAAATGGATCTGATAGCAAAAGAAAACAGTACTGATACTTTGTAAGTGATAGTATAAGTATACGATATACTAGATGCATGCAAACATGTTCCCATGCTTGGTTCTTCTGACTGGTCCTTTGAAATTCAACCTTGATGTGTTTAGAGCTCACATAGATCATTGACATAAATGAAAATGCCTATTCCTTTAAGAACAGTGTTTCACCATAACATTGTCAAAGAAAAAGTTATCACGATTTCTGCGTATCTGATCAATATATAATAACATAAACATTTTATGTATCATTTGTGTAGTTCAACAAAACAGACTATGGCTTTTGCATTCCCATAATCAGTAAATAATACACAGGGTGAATTCTCCTACATTTGTACAGTTCACTTTCTCAACATCTCAGTTCAAAACCTTTGTAAAAATGAATTCATTTCTCCTCATGTGTACTTTCATTCATTTTCCTCATTAGGGCTTGCAATAATCCAGAGAACGGCTTCGTTTCTAAAGAGAGGTATTAGAGATACTTGCTTGGCCATAATTTAAATGATCCTTAACATTGCTGGATGGTCTTTAAACTGTAATGATTTGGGACCATGCAGCCAGCTGATTGGCAGTGGATGGGGCCAGCTTAATGCTAAATATGGTGTGGTTCATGCATGCTCAATAACTTTGCATTGTTGATTACAAATGGATTAATTTGGGACGGAATATGTTCTCTCACTGCATTCAACTTTCTTTTTGGTAGGGTTCACTCAAGCTGCTGCATACAAAAGAAGGATTTTATTTACAAACTTTATATAGGTGCACTATTTTTCAAGTAATTATTTACTAACCCTTTCACAGGCACAAAACAACTTGGATGGTAAATTTCAGCGTTCAGAATAATTATTTTTTTGAATGTAACATAAGTCCAATTTTAAATATTTGCCAGTTTCATCTTTAATTTGCCTTTTTAAAATTTAAATAGCAAATAAAAAGAAATCTGGTACATAATTTCGAGGTACCTCATTCTGATGAGAGAAAACAAGTGGCCTGTAAGAGGGTTATTTAGCAATGATGGATTTAAAACTACACTTAATCCAAGAAGTTACTTGGAGCTTTCTGTCTCACTTGTTATCACCGAGTCCACAATTTTCTTTTCACACCACTTTTCACAGAATTGTTTTGAATGTGAGCCACTGAATTATGTTTTGAAACTATACTTCAAACTGGATTGGAAACACGGAATAATAACAGAATACGTTCATGCCAAAATTTTATACAAATGGTGTATGATGTAAGACCAAGGAAATGGGCAGAAACAGGAAGTTGTTGTAGAGCAGGGATGCAATTGCTTTTACTGTTTGATTGTTCATGGGTTTTAATTACCAAATTTTGCTTGGACACTGCCTACTTTATTAAAGTTTCATTTATATCTTGTATTAAAGTGATTTTACAAAAAAAAAGGCACACACCAATTTAAGCAACTGGGTCATTTCTTAATTCATTCTTGATTGTTATTTTAGAAGTTTTAAATGGAAATGATAACTTCTGGAAAAATGTCTCTACTTGCATCAATGCGTATTGTTTAAAATCCTGATTAAAATCAGAGGTCCGTCACCAGAACACGAGGTGTCACGTTCACTTACACATTGCGGTCAGTGTTACTTCAGAATTGTGATATATCTCTTTGTCGTCTCATTCTTCTTCTGAATGTAAAATTGTAACTGTTATACAGAACTTATAAAAAGTTTTATGATATTCAGTTATAAATAATAACTTCCATTATTTCATCATATAAATGGATTGATGTATTTTTCCATGTTTTTCCATCATTCTTGTCTGTAGGAGTATAGTTACATAGATGTCACATGTCTACGGCATCTCACAAAAATAACTTCCCTTTGAGTGAAGTTAGATGTGTGAATATTGGCTGATGCACCCCTACTTGGGTTCACTTTTACATCACTCCTGCAGGTCCAAAGGCAACTCATCTATATCAGCACAATTCAAATCAGGAACTGTCCTAATATCTGTGGCTTAGCATCACAGTACCAGAAAAGGAATTTCCCTTTGAATTGTTGGAGAGTGGATTCCTTGGTTTGATAGAGATTTACAGCTGCAGTTTAAAATTTTCCACAAACCTTCAAATCAATCAAAGATGTTTTAAGGTAACTGATGCATGAAATGAGAAAAAAATGCTCTGAATAAGTAGGGAATGCTTTTCTGAAGCTAGTATTGAGATTTAATATTATTTTTAGGCCGGTCCATGCTACACCCAACCTGGGAGTAGTTAAATGATACCAACCTTTTGGTGACCTCTCCTACCATCCCCTTTGGCTCATTATCCATTTTTAAATTAAACCTCTATGAAGATTTATTGTGTTGGAGGCCCAATACAAATACACGTTGTTGATATTGGGTGCACGAAGTGTTAAATTGGCCAGGTGTCACACTTTTGATTTGATGAAAATGTAAACAGTTAAGGATCAAAAGCTGTAGATGTGTTTCTCACAAAATACAAAACAAGGTCAAAATGACAGAACCATAATTCTAAAAGCATCTCAAGGCTAGATGAGTACCCAGCAATTGGGATATTGCCTCTTTCAAGTTGAGTAATTAGGAATTAAATTCAGTTATTAAAATGCTTTTGGGTTTTTTTTGAAAACATCTTGAAATTTAAAAGACAGAGACAAATGATCTGTAGTATGTATTTTGCAATACCTCCTTTTGACTGTGATATGTATATTAGCATTACAAGACAGAACATTATACTTGGTGTACTGCCCTTTTCCCTTGAGTTTTCAAATTTGATTTTACATAAGCAATTGAGATTTCACAGTGTGTGAGAATACTTGCATATGAACAATGCTTTCAAAGAGCTAATGCAGGTATAATGGAGACATGGCTTCCACCTGTATCCTTTGAGTAGTGAGAGTTGTTTTAATCTGACTGTCATTTAACCCAGGCACCTCTAGATATAAATCCAGTGGGCAAAATCAAGAGCCTAATAGGATCTCAGTATTGGCCACAAACTTTGCAGGATGTCGTTTGGTGAAATGAGATGTGTAGAAACATGACAAGCTAATCATTTTCTGCCCAATATTGCTTCAGAGAAGGGTAAAATCTGAATTGTACATTGGTTATGATACATTTAGTGTTGCTTGAATTTGGTTTCTTTGGTATTTGGTATCACGTTTCCTTCTTGAATGAATTGCCTTTTGTCAAAATGCAGTTCCAAATATAGTGGCACCCTCGCAACTCATTGTCATTCTTTTATTTTCATGTGGACAAGGAGCTTTAACAGAATATTTATCATTCAGTATGTCTTAACTGAGCACAAATTCATTCTCACTCAGTTCATTTTCTTAACTGGTTCACAGAAAGTCCAGCAATTATTGTTCATTCCTAATTGACGTTGAGAAGATGGTGGTAAACTATAGTCCATGTTGTATAGGAGCATCCACAGTACTTTTAGATGGTATTGGACTTGGAGGGGTGCCTGCAAGCCATAGTGTCCCTTGTGCCTGCTGCCTTTAGCTTACTAGGTTATAGTTGGGTTTTTAAGATGTTATTGAAGGATCCTCTGCAAGCTGCTGCAGTGCTTCTTATATTTGGTGCACACTTCTGCCAATCTAAATGGTGGTGCAGGGAGTGAGTATTTAAGGGGATGGAGAGCCATCAATCGGATAGCTTTGTCCTGGAGGATACCTAACTTCTTGAATGTTATTGGAGATGAATCCATCCATACAAGTAGAGAGATTTTGATTAAACTCCTGACTTGTCTGTTCTCATGATGGACAGACTCTGCAAACACAGAAGTTGAGTTACTTTCAGCAGAATTCCTAACTTTTGACCTAATTTTCAAGTATGTTTGGTGCTGCTCTTGGCATTGAAAGATAGTTACACTACCAAAGAAAGCCATGTGCCCCGCATGCCCTTTGTGACTCTCTGTAACAGCGACAGTTTGTCACTTTCCTTATAAAACTAATATCATTTTTTTTCTTTCAGATTGTCTTCCAGTTCCTTTTTGAGAACATCTGCCTTCAGTACACACTTAGGCGCCTTCCAGATCCAAACTGCTTACTGTGCAAAGAAAAACAAAAGTTTTTCTCATCCAAAAAGCAGAAATTTCTGGAGAAACTCAACAGGTCTGGAAACATCTTTGGGCAGAAAAGAGTTAATATTTTGAGTCCATTAGCATCATTGGACTCAAAATGTTGACGCTGCTTTCTGTTTTTGTTTCAGATCTTCAGAATCCACAGTTCTTTATTTTAAAGTTTTTCCTCACATTGCTGTTGGCTCTATTGTCTTTATTTGTTTTAAACTGGTATTCATCTGGTTCCCAATGTTACTGCAAATAGGAAGGGTTTGTTTCAATGTACTCTGTCCAAGCCCCTGATGATTTCAAACATCTTTATCAATTGTCTTCACTATCATCTTCCTGACAAGGAAAGCCCCATTTTCTTCAGACTATCCAAGTAACTGAAGTCTTTCTTCCTTTGGACCATTTTCTGCACCTTCTGTAAAGTGATCACATCTCTGCCTAAATTATGGGGCCCAGATTTAGACAAAATGTTCCAGTTGAGGACCAAAGAGTGTTTTAAAAATATTTACCATAACTTCCTTGCTTTTATTCTTTTGTACTCTATGCCTCTCTTTGTAAAGCCTAGAATACCGTTGTCTTATTAACCACTTTCTTAAGCTCATTCATATCATTTGGGATTGAAAAACCTGGCTGACACCAATTCCCCCAGTCTATCTATTCTACTGTTTATAGCCCAAGGAATGAGGTAATTTTAGTCTCCCTTAAGTGAAATAAATTAGCTCAGAGTAATTACAGTATACCATAGAACAAGTCCTATGGAAGCAAGATATTATGGTTATTTACAGCACATATCAGCCTCATGTTTTTAACTCAGAATCCATGCCCAACAATGTATATTTATACAGCTCAGATCTGCTTGTAAAAAGCATGTGTGTCAGTTGATCTGTATCTACAGTACAAATACGCTAGCAGAGATAAGCTGAGAGGATTAAACTTCCCGTGTATTGCCGTTGGATATTGTCACACATGTTTTCATTTAAAATTTAATGCAGGCATTGAACATTTGGTTCTGAGTCAGATTCTTGATTGAGAGCAGACATACATTTTTTCACAGAAACTATGGTGTCTGCCTCGTGACATGTCCTGGTAACTGCCGGATAGCAATTTCTTTTTTTATTAGTTGCATCTGAGCTTTCCTTTTCCATAGTCCTTGGTATATACTCATCTGTACATCTTTTTTCCAAACAATGTCTAACATTTGTCAAACATGGAATTAAGATGTTTTAATTATGTGCTAAATGTACACATAGATTCATTGGTGTCTATTTTTCCTTCAGGCTAATATGAAGGATTGCCCATTTCCATATAATGCAAACTAGATACAAAAACCATTAGAAATATGCACATTTTTCTTCAATTTCTACAAGATGGTGACTCTTTACATGTGCCAGCACCCATGATACGTGATCAGTAATGCATGGTCA